AGAATTCTTTCCTTAGTTTCAATCCATCCTGTACAGACTATATGTGGTGGTGGGATGTCCTATTCTGGCCTGGTCTATTTGGGGTCCTAAAAGCTTCTTGTATCTGGATGGGTCTGAGCTTTTGCATATTTGGGAAGTTCTTTGCTAGGATTCTGCTGAATATATTTCCTAATGTGTTGGCTTCCCTTTCCAGGCCCTCCTCTACATCTATTAGTCTCATATTAGGCTTTCTGATTGTATCTTGTAGCTCCTGCAGTGATCTGTCATGCTTCTTGGTTTTGTTATGAATATCTGTGTGCTCTTTCTCTATGGAGTCTAAACTACCTTCTGCCTCAGAGATTCTGTCTTCTGCTTCCTCTATTCTGCTTTCAAGACTTTTTACTTTGCTATTTATCTCCCTTCCTTCTTGCTAGTCTTTTTTTTTTTTTGGTCGGTTGTGACGCTTGAACTCTGGGCCTGGGCGCTATCCCTCAGCTCTCCACAGCTCAAGGCGAGTGCTCTACCACTTGAGCCACAGTGCCACTTCTGGTTTTCTGAGTCTTTTATTGGAGATAAGAGTCTCATGGAGTTTCCCACCTGGGCTGGCTTTGAACCATGATCCTCAGATCTCAGCTTCCTGAGTAGCTAGGATTATAGGCGTGAGCCACTGACACCCAGCTTGTTGGTCTTTCTTAATGGTGTCCAGCTCTTATTGAGGTTTTAAGTCTTGAATAGATTGCCTTACCTCATGGAGTTGGTTTTCGGATTTGTTTTTCCACTCCTTTATCTGGGTTTCTATCTTTTCATTGGACTCTTTCTCCTTCTGTTGGGAGTTCCTTTATCTTTTTATTTGTGGAGGCCATGAAGTATCTTTTTATTTGTGGAGGCCATGAACTTGTCTATTAGTTTCTGGTTGGCTCGTCAAGTTCAGTTATAGCCTTATGCAGGGTGTTCAATTTTTCATTCAGATTTACCAGCCATGCTTTTAAAGTATCTTGAGTATTATTCTCTAGGTCATTCTGGGACTGCTCTATAGCTTATTTATGTGGAGATAGAGTTGGGGCTAGTTGATTGGACATGTTTCTTGTGTTTTTATGGTTAGTTCTACCCATTTGGCGACAAGAGCCACTCCAATACAACAATAGGATGGTGTTTTAGGGCAGGAGCCAACCAAAATAGGATGGCGTTTTAGGGCAGGAGCCAACCTGGTGCCGTGTAGATGTATAGAACTTAGGATTTCAAAATTATGGGTAGGTGTTCCCCTATTTAGCTCTCTTTTTCTTTGCTTAGAGAAGAATGTTGTGGTTCTAGGGTAGAGATTACATATAGTTGTAACTTTCTAGGGGTTTTTTTGTTGTTGTTGTTTAATGAGGTCTTAATAGAACACAGCTATGCTCATGCATTATATACTGTCTATGGCCAAGTAGTTATTGGAGACTCTGTATGCCCATAAAGCTTAAAATATGTTCTTTTTATTTTTCTATAGAAAGTTTGCCAATTCTTGTTCTAAACAGAGGCTGCTCTGTCAACAAGGGTTCTGAAGTGTAGATGACATATGGTAGAGCAATACCTAATTTGTGATGGACATAGCATGTAATGCTATATTTTAAATATGTTTGTTACCATAGCATAAGCTAGAACACTCTAACTTATACAGAAATTTTAACCTAACTTCTTACATAGTAAGTATCATCAAATACTCCTACTTTACCACTAACTCCTTTGTGGTCACTTTTCTAGAGTACTTTAGGGTATAGCACTTGAATCTCCTCTGGTTAGCCTATGTTCATTCTCTTAGTTGAGAACTTCAAGCAACATTCACAGACTGATGACTTCCTCATGTGGACCTCTCCTAAATTTATAATCCACGTAACTGCATAATTAAGACCTCAGTTTACCTGGGTGCCAGTAGCTCATGCCTATAATCATACTCTGGAGACTCAGATTTGAGGACAGCAGTTCAAAGCCAGCCCAGGCAGCAAAGTCTGTGAGACTCTTATCTTCAATAAATTACAACAAAAGCCAAAAGTGTAGCTGTGACTCAACTGAAAGAGCACTAGCCTTGTGCAAAATATACTCAGGGACAGCGCCCAGGCACTGAGTTCAAAGCTCCAAGACCAGTATCAAAATAAACAGCAATCCTATCCTACTGATTTTGCTGAAAGCTAACACACTTATTGCCCTTTCCTCTTTAATTCTCCTTTTGTTCTCTCATTTTACACAGGTAATTGGTTAGCAAATCCTACTTGATTTATCCAATAGGTATATCTCCAACATATACTCAAAATCTAATTAATATAGTTTATTACCTCCAATTACTAAGCCACTGTCATCTCTCATCTATATATATTATTGCAATAGTTTTTTTGTTATTATTTTTTGTACCAGTATTTGGGCCTGAACACAGGACCATGCATGCACTCTTAGCTTTTACACTCAAGGTTTTTGATTTACCACATGAGTCACACCTCCACTTATAGCTTTTTCTGGTTACCGAAAATAAGAGTCTCATGAACTTTTCTGCCTGGGCTGGCTTTGAACATTGATCCTCAGATCTCAGGCTCCTGAGTAGCTAGGCTTACAGGAGTGAACCACCAGATTCCCTGCTTCAAAAACTCTTTTTGTTTCTAGCCTTGCCTTTCTATACTCTTATTTATTCTCAGCCAAGAAGTCAAAATAATTTCTTAAATATGAAAAACAGTTTATTATATCTTCGCTATGTCTCCAATTGCTGAGTCCAATGATTTCTCAATCTCCATTCTGCTTTATCAGTCAGAAACATTTCAGACAACTATTTTATGTTTTTCCAAGTCATTCAAATTAAAAGCTAAAATTTGTTTAAAATCATCTTGATTCCTCACTTCTCTGTCATTATTTGCCCAGAACATTACAATTAGCTATTCTGTTGTTGCTGCACAAGCAGGCTGCCACTGGAGACCTTTTACATTTGTTATTCTCACTTCCTGGCATGCTCTTGCCTGCAAATCTAGATATGTATACCTTCATCAGATTTGCTCCAATGATACCTACATGTGGTATCACTATTTACCTTAATAAAATTACAACTACTCTCCTTTTAACTGTCACTCACCCTAATAACATTTTACTTAACTATTATCTCCTCAAGTAGAAAGGAAGCTCCCAGAAGGCAAAGATTATTACTGTCTTTCTTTTAGAACTATCTCTCTAGTGCCTACAATGATGCCTGGATACATACTCAATATTAACCACATTATCATCTAGATCTTATATTTTAAAATTATAAATGTAAATATATGTAAATTATACCATATAAAATAAATGATATATTTATATATGTATACATTTTATTTATATTTATATATAATATATAAAATTTTAAAAATTTAAATTACATATAAGAATAAAATATAAAAGTTATAAATAATGAAACAGAAATTCAGAATGGCAAAGAAATGCTGTAGTAAAGAAAAAGAAAAATATATTTCCTCACTTCAGTAGTAACACTTTTTCTTTTTTCTTTCATAGACAGCAAAGAAAATAAAATACCAAAGTTCTGAGGACAGAATTCATGCCTGAATATTCAGAGCTCCTGGATTAAAGCCTTATTTTCAAAATTACAGTTGTTTTTTATATTTCTAATATACTATTTTTAACCACCAGAAGAATTTTACCTCCAGGGATTACATCTTTAATGGCATGAAAGCTTACTAAGAAATGAATAAAACATTCAAATGTAATTTTTAACACAAAACCAATTTACTTAATAGGAAGACCAGTTTTTTTGAAAAGCAGTGTATCATGTTCAAATTTATCCTTCAATCAACTGACTTTCATTATCTTCTTTTGGTTCTCAATATTTCTAAAATTTATAAATGTTAAAATGTTCATTATAACTCCAAGACTCAGATATTACTAAAAATAACTATTACAAGCCAATTATTTTACAAGGAAGAAAAAGTAAAATATTAAAAGGAGCAGATAAGATATTGGCTAAAAAATCTTGTCTCCAGTTTTTGCTTTTGCTGAAATGGCTGAGGTGAGTTCTTTTTTTTTCTTTTTCTTTTTTTTTTGGTCAGGCGTGGGGCTTGAACTCTGGGTTTGGGCGCTGTCCCTGTGCTCTTTAGCTCAAGGTGAGCAGTAGCTTGAGTCACAGCGCCACTTCTGGTTTTCTATTGGTTTATTGGAGATGAGAGTCCCACAGACTTTCTTGCCTGGGCTGGCTTTGAACTGTAATCCTTAGATCTTAGCCTCCTGAGTAGCTAGGATTACAGGCATGAGCCACTGACATCCAGCTCTGAGATGAGTTCTTAGATGTTTGCTTTCTATTTTGAATGAATTATCTATGTATAAATCCTTCAAAAGGCTTTGTGTGACTGAATATTCTAACCTTTTCATCTTACTAAAGCATTAAAAATGTAGTCATATTCTAAATTTTAAAAAGGAGCTTACAGTTTTCGAAGACAGACACAGTACATGCACTTCTTAAATAAAAGCCTGTTTACTTACCATGGAAAAAAATATGTATCTGCTAGTCATGAGAAGAAACAGGACATTAAATTAAAATGAGCACTTTTTACTATGATGAAGAATAAGATGTGAATTAGCCACTATGTGATCTGTATATCAAATACAGTTTAAATGAACAAAGTAAATTTAAATTTACACCTACATGTTTTACAATAGGCTATTCCACAATTATTTTGAAAAACTGAGTGGGAATGGGGCTAAGGAGAAAAAAGAACCCACTATTTATTTTGAACTGTCACATCCACCAAGCCCTTTGAAGATTAACTTGGATATTTTCCCCCAAGGACCCCATTTCTTGTATTTCAGTGAAGAAAGTACTGACAAGACACTGGCTTTCTTATTAAAGGTTTCTGTTTTGTGATAAATCTGCAAAATAACCATACTATATTAAAATGTACTTAATATGCATCTTTTAGTTTAGAGTCATCTTTTAAGCTAAAGCCACAATAGTCACACTTCAAGAAAAGGTTTTGTTTTGTAACCAATGGTGGTTTTCATTTATTATTACTTACCAAGTCCTAAAAGATCAACAGTGGGCTCTGCAGCCTTCTTAGGGCTGGTGCTTTTTCTAGTCTCCAGTTGTTGATCTTCTTTCTTTTGTAGCTTTAAAATAAATAATAAAATTTGTTAATTTTTCTTAAATAAAATCAAACAAATCTTTTAAGCCACTTGGATAGTTAATATAAGGAATTATGTGAAACAGTATAATGAAGCACAGAGCAATTTTTAAAAATAAAGAATAAGTAAACAATGGTCTTTGAACACAGAATGGCAATCTTACACATTTTAGAAGTCAAAATAGTAAATATACAATCTTAACCCCTAGTATAATTGTTCGTAGCCATTATACTCTTTGTGTGAATTATTTTGAAGAAATGAATTTCATGTTACTTCCTTGCTACTACTAATATACTTCTATTACTTCCTTGCTACAACTAATATACTTCTATTAGCCAAGGCTGGGGTTGGCCTTTGAGTCCCATCATCCACATTATCAGTGCATGAGATGCAACTGCACCAAAAAAAGCCCAATGACTTGTTTTACAACTCCTGATTCTTCATAGCTAATTATTTTTCTGTGTGTGTGTGTGTGTGTGGTGTGTGTGTAGGTATACACACACACATGTGCCTTGACTCAGGGATTGAGCACTGTCCCTGAGCTTTTTTTTTTTGCTTAAGGATAATGCTCTACCACTTGAACACTTCCAGCTCTGTGGTGGTTAATTGAAGATACAGAGTTATGGACTTTCCTGCTCAAGCTGCTCTTTGAAACATACTCCTCAAATTTCGGCTTTCTCATTAGTTAGGATTACAGGTATAAACTACAGCTCTTAATTATTGTTTTAATGTAATATTTGATTATTTCTCAGAAGCTGAAATTAGATACACATTCAGAAGTCTTTTCCTCACACATACAAAAACAATGTTGCATAGGACATGATGAAAAGACCTTTAGCTCTCAATTTGAAAGCCTATCTCTCTAGGAAAATAAAACATTCATTTATTTACTTATTGCAAACTATTCCTACAAGATCATTTTCTACCATCAGTATTTAAAGAATTTATATTATATATACTTGTTATAGGTTCACTTTTTATTACTACTTATACAGATATCTAACTTCTATGTTATACATCTTCTAACTTCTATCTGCTTCACTTGTTTTCTAGTTACTGTCTCCCTCAGATAATTTTCTACTCAACATATGTCTGCAGACAGAGCCTGAGACATGCAAAATACTGCTGTACCATGGAATACTGCTGTAGCTTCAGTTCCTGAAATTATTTTGAATTCTTTTCCCCAAGCAAGTTTGAGTTTTAACCAATACTGGAGGTTTAAAAGTTCAGAAGGACAAAGGTCACGTTTTCTCCCATATGTGTACGCTACCCCAATATACAAATACATATAGATAGATAGATAGATAGATAGATAGATAGATAGATAGATAGATAGATAGATAGATATACATATGGTCCTGAATGCACATATGTACATACAATTGTGAATACACATAGACACAAAAAATGTGTATGTATATATGTTTTTAAATTATGGAAATGTTTACAAGGATTAGAAGGGGAACATACAAATAGAATGATAACAAAGTAAGCAACTCTTTTCTACTGGTTATATTGGTAGAACTTTCTCCTAACCTTCCTTCTTTCCTCCACTCATTTCACTGGATAGTCTACATTACCATAAACATTCAAACAAACTAGTGAATCTAGGGATCAGATGGAAACACCTATAAATTTAAAATATTCCAGTACCAAGGTTTTCATTGGTCATACCACTACCTACCATACTGCTTGAACATGTTTTATGCTTAATAGGTACTTTAGGAAACTTTAAAATTGTAAATAAACACTCTATCAATTAAGTGAGGCTCAGCTAAGTAGGAACAGACTAACTAAAACTTTCATTTTTCCTGTTACCCAAATTTAGAATTCTTACTTTGGTAAAATATTGAATCTTCAGAAGAAGTATCAAATATAATCCAAACCTAACTGAATTCCTCCTTAGTCATTTCAGGCTAAAATAACATTTCAAAACAATTCCAATTAAAATGATTCTTTTACCACCAAATTATCATTACCTCTTTAAATACTGCTCAGTATAAAACTATCCATCATTGCTTAAAAAGGGGAGGAAAAACAAAAATCAAATAATGTAAATAATCTCCAATAATTGGACTCCTCACTCCCAGAATCAGAACTATAAAAATCCTTCTCAGATACCCAACACATCTACTTGTGTCCTAAGAGAATTTCTTCCTTTTCCTTGGATATCAATTATATATAGTTTAAGCAGATTCTTCCCAGCCATTTTCAAATGAAACTGTATAAAGAACCTAAATATAGCAGTGTTAGGGCAAAGAGAAACTTTAACAAGAAGAGAATAGCCTAGTTTATCAAAAGTACACATCCAGTAGCTGGTTTGAGCATCCACTTTATAGACTCTAACTAGAAAATTTTGCATGTTAAAAAAAGAAAAGAGCTGGGCACCAATGTCTCAGGCCTACAAGCCTGGCTGATACTCAGGAGGCTGACATCTCAGGATCGTAGTTCAAAGCCAGACTGGGCAGAAAAGTCTGTGAGACTGTGATCTCCTATAAACTACTCAGAAAATGCTGGATGTGGTGCTGTGGCTCAACTGGTAGAATGCTAGCCTTGAGCACAAAGAGGCTTGGGACTGTGCCCAGGCCCAAAGACTGGGGGCAGACGAGGGTGGGGAGGGGGAGGGAGGGAGGGAGGAAAGGAAGGAAGGAAGGAAGGGGAAGAAGGAAAGGAAGGAAGGGAAGGAAAGGAAGGGAAAAGAAAGAGAACAAAAAGGTAAGTATGTTGTATTTGCACATTTGTACTCACATGTAAGCATAAATCTGGACCATAATGTGATTGTTATTTACTACTGAAGTGGTTAAAAACCACTTCTCTGAAGACAGTGGCCTGTGCTCCTACAATGGGTCAGATTATGAGTGAATGCTAATGGCTATGTCATATGGCTATGACATTACCTTACTACTCCAAGTAGAGCTGGCTATTCTAGAAGGATTTCACTAATTCAGTTAAACTGTATTTAAGTTTGATATATGACAGGGTTGAATACCATAAAATCTATGGTGTATCCCTCCAACCACAAATATTGCTGAGGTAGTCATTTGAAATCACTGATGTGTGGCAAAGTTAAAATTTGAGATTTCTCTTCAAAGTCTCCTTACTAACACAATTTCTATCTTCTGTAGATTACTAAGAAGTGAGAAAAGTTCAGGTTGAACTCTAATGACACTCACTACTCATAAATGTAAACATAAGAAATCAACATCTTTATTTTGGGATGCTCAAGAACAGAAATACCAAACACCGAACTATATAAGCCATCATCCTAAGATTCTAGTCAGAATACTTAATCTCCTAGAGCTAAATATTCATAAAAAATTCATTTATGAATTTTCTTGAATGATTTTCCCCCAAACTGAAAATTAATTCTAATTTATAATTCATTTTAAACATCTGTGTAAAAATGGCAGGGTGAAAGCATTTCTTTTCCTGTCCTTAGGATGAATAATAGCATCTAAAAATAATAAATTCAGAAGATAAGCAAAATTTTATCTTTTATACTGTCACTATGTGAGTTCAAAAACATCTCAAAAATGTACAATTCTCCAGCACAAAGATACAAACTATTTTTTAAATTTTGAAAACAATTTTATTCCATTATGTTATACATTTAAGTTCAAGCAAAATTGAGCAGAAAAGCCTATTTCAAAAAAAGTGCTATTTCCAGCACATTGTATTTGTCCACTGCTAGAGCTGCATTACTGCCCTATTATAAAGGCTAACAAGAGAGGTTTTATTTATTTATTTAAGAAGGTAATTGTAAATGATCTTACCCACTGAGGTAAGAGATAGTACTAGTGATAAATCTCCCTTCTTTGCTACATTGTATAAATTTAGCATTTCAAAAATCAAACATTCCCTATTATTATCCAGAGATGAACTATTTTCTGATTGTCACTAATTACAATAGCTACACCAACAATCTCTATTTATGAGGGAAGCAGAAGTACTCTGTTTACCTTGAAAACCTAAATCAAGGCCACTCCAAAGTATACTTTGTAGAGCATAGCAAATGGTTCTCCCTTCTCATTTAAAATACACAGCATCAATGTTCATATTCAGAGAATAAGTAAAAGCAAATCACTACAGCATAAATAATTAAACACTTTGGGTAACAAACCAATGTGTAATATGCTCTTTCTTCCTGAAAAAAATCTTTTTAAAATTAAAAAAAATCCTCAAAAAGTCTTCAAAAAGATTATTTCCTTCAGAACAAAAAAAATCCTTCAGATTTCCTCAATAACAAAAGTAATTTTCTTTAAATATTTTCTATTAATTTGTATCTTTTATTTTGCAGAACATCAACTTCGTTGTGTGCTGCAATGAATAGGATAATCTAAGATTTTGGAAAAAACTAAACTTTTGAAGATTTAAAAATGAAAATGCTTTTATCTTGTAATTATAAGTATTGACTGTTAAGTGTAATAATAGTAAATCAATACTTTGAAAACCGCCTAACTACCCTGTTGATACTTTACAGTCAACTCAGATATAAGCATGTTAGTTTATGAGTTCAATGCATCTCAACGCCATCCCTTTCACTATGCTCCCCCATTCCTAGCCCTACCCATCCCCTCAATTTTCCTAGTTTCATCTTTACATACATACATGAAGTTTATGAGGGCGTTCTCCCACCTTTCCTCTCTTCATTCATCATCCCTCATCCCCTTGACCTTACTTGCTCAACATTTCAAGTACAAGTTTCCTGGTATTCATTTTGTTAAACTGCAAGTTAGTTGCTCAAAGGAAGTACACCACTGGAATTCTCCCGTGCATATACTACACTTTAGTTAATACATTTGTGTACACATGCATATAAACCTGTATGTTTATATATATACATATATATTTATAAATTAGAACTTTCGTGTATGAGAGAAAACATGTGTCCTTTGTCTCTCTAGGCCTGACCTACTTCACATAACATAATTTTTCCAGGTCCATCATTTCCTTGTAAATAATGTAATATCATTCTTTCTGATGGG